TATGCACTTGATACATGAGTAACCATAAAAATGGTTTTCATGGCACCAATCAACCATTTTGCAAATGATGGAACGAGTCATTGACAAATACACAACACCTGTCAATAGCAGGTATGGGATCCACAAGATGAAAATACAACTGAAACCTAGGATCCATGCTTACAATAAGCTCAGATATTTAGATCCAATTTGACCCCACATCATAGTTTTCTGTTGAATCCATGATGTGATCCTAAGCAAAGTGTGAATAGTATATGAACTGTACTATATACTGGACATTTAAATGATATCTTATAATTATGGAAAGGTGTATTATTTTATTTAGGTCTACACCTGCTCTACACCTGAAGGTCTGCTCTTCAGTGTCATATAACTCATTGAGAGGAACTTAATTTACCCAACATGTAGTACATGGGACCCGTGAAGATCCGGGGTAGAATAGGTCTTCAGCAACCCATGCTTGCCACAAAAGGCGACTATGCTTGTCGTAAAAGGCGACTAACGGGATCGGGTGGTCAGGCTCGCTGACTTGGTTGACACATGTCATCGGTTCCCAATTACGCAGAATCGATGCTCATGCTGTTGATCACTGGATTGTCTGGTCCAGACTCGATTATTTACAGACTGCCGCCATATAGCTGGAATATTGCTGAGTGCGGCGTAAAACTAAACTCACTCACTCACTAGTACATGGGATAGAGGTATACTAATGCTTAGTTTCTGAATATATGTAATTTTGATAGAGACAAACAATTCCTTTTACATTGAAAAAGAGTCCCAGCAAACACTGGAGAATCAGCCTGAAATCTAGACTTGCTTCATTTAGAGCTTAAGCATTGCAGAAAGGGCTTGGCAGTAGGGAAATAATGTGGTTCAGGGACTGTGAGACAGACTAGGGATAGAGGTTGAGGATGATGGCTGGAAGTGGACAGTTTCTCTGAATGGAAAAAAAAATGATGCAAAAACTGTTTTAGTTCAGCATTTTCAGTAAGATCAAATGTTTGTCCATCAGTATTTATAATCATTAATTAATGAAAGCAGTTGTTTGTCCATCAGAATTTATAATCATTAATTAATGAAAGCAGTTGTTTGTCCATCAGTATTTATAATCATTAATTAATGAAAGCAGTTGAACTTGTCTTGGGGAACACTGAAGTTGGGAGAGTACTTGTATTGAAGGTGGCATGTACTTGTATTGTACTTGTCAATACTAAGGAATGTAATCTTATCAGGGATTTACAGAACACGAATTCCTGCGTCCTATACTCATAAAAATTGACAATGGACGCAACAAAATTTATTAGCGCATGCACAGGGTAGCAGAAAAAGTCCAAATACTTTTTTGTAAAAATTCCAATCAAGTAACAATAAGTTATCACTGAGTTTACTACTAGCTGGGTTATGGTATCATTTGCAATTTAGTTACTGTAACAATGCGATGATCATGATACACAATACAATAACAGTATTAATAATAATATTTAAGTGTCTGGGACCCCCATTTTGTTGTCCAGGACCCCTGAAAATTAAGAGTAGGAGTCCCAGGGACCCCAAATACAGGACTCCAGGTAAATTCCTGCTTATATTTCAGTTTTTGTTCAGCTACTTAATTAATCTGTCTGATTACATTTAAAAAAGTTAATATTGAAAAATACATGCCTTCCTGTCACCTATTCAGAAATAGCCAGAAAAAAGGAATGTCACAAGGTGATGTTATAATCTGTCACTTGTTTTCAATGTTGTAAGTTGGGTTGTTCTGAGTGTTATGTATGATTACCCTTACCTGAGGAGATGTTTAAAAGTAAAAGATTAATTTGCATGGCTAGGTATCAGTGTTGATAGATGACGTGATGCTGAACACATTACACCAACTGAATCTCGGCCCTTGGGGGTACAGTTTAGTTCAGCCAGTCTTGATTTCAATGTGCACTGGTGGTTTGGTGCAGTTCATGGCATGGATGAAAAGCTCTGAGAGTAATATGATTAAACTTCAGTTTATGACAGTTGATCCTGATGGCTGCAAGTCTTGATGCACCGAGCCTGATCGTTTTTATGACCATATACAGCAATTTCATTACTGCTGGCAAATGTGGCGCAGGATTTCTATTTGTCCAGTTGCACATAGAACAGATTGGCAGTAATGATGTGATAATTTATATAAGTGCTTTTTCAACTGCTTCAAAATGTTCAGAGTATTATCACCTGTCAAAAACATGTCTACCTGTTTACATGAGCAGAGACCCGTGAAGATTCAGGTTAGAATATTGATCTTCAGTAACCCATGCTTGTCGTAGAGGCTGACTTAACTGGATCGGATGGCCAGGCTCGCTGACTTGGTTGATACATGTCGCCGGTTCCCAATTGGCGCAGATCGATGCTAATGCTGTTGATCACTGGATTGTCTGGTCCAGACTCAATTATTTACAGACCGCTGCCATATAGCTGGAATATTGCTGAGTGTGGCGTGAAACTAAACTCACTCACATAAGCAGAATGTCAATAGTCAAAATTCAACAGGACAGACAGAAGTCCTTGTCATCAACCATTAAAGACTGAGGTGGCCTAAAGATTCAAATTATTCTGCAGAATAGTTCAGGAGATCCCTGGGTCTCTTTTTATATTTCTGAAAATGCTTTGGTTTGTTTGTTTGTTATATGATGGATTTCCTGTGGATTTTAGATTTCATTTTCATTTTGACGCTTTTTAGATCGATGTAAAGCTGCAATCAAAGACCCCCAAGACACCCAAACTAAATTTTCAGTCTTTTTGTGCTTTGCTGTTCTCATGTCTGCGGAGGTCTATAATAATAATCAAGTCTGGACAAGATAATCCAGCAATCAACAGCATGAGCATCGAATCTACACAGTTGGGATATGATGACACTGTAGGCAATGTAGTGGTCATTGTGTAAGTCAGAGCTCCACCGTGATGGGATTTGTCCAGTGATTGATGTCATGAGCATCAATATGTGCAATTGAGATATGGAATTCTTCAACATCGTCAGACCTGTCGACCTGTTGCTGTTACTTGTTTCCACCAACAAACTCAGGGGCGGTGGGGTAGCCTAGTGGTTAAAGCGTTCACTTGTCACGCTGAAGGCCCAGGTTCGATTCCCAACATGGGTACAATATGTGAAGCCCATTCCTGGTGTCCTCAGCCGTGATGTTGCTGGAATATTGCTAAATGCGACGTAAAATCATACTCACTCGCTGACCAACGAACTCAGGTTCCTGTAATCCAGATCTAACCAGTATCTTCACATGGAGATAATAAGGCCATGTGCGCATTTACATTAAGTTTCAGGCACATTTGATGATATTATTGGCATTCATGTTCATCGAAATTGAATGCAATGAAGCAATGTTTAATTGCTTTAATCAAGAACGAGGCATCAATATTGAAAATTGATTTTTCAATCTCTTCAATGGCCTTGGTATTTCAATCTGAAGCCATGCCTCCTCTGATGGTAGAAATAGGGTAATTTCACAAGTCATTCAAATAAATTGATTTCCTATCTTTTTATGTACCACCCTCAAGGGAAAAGTTGAGATATTGCAATTGTGAGGTGATTAAGACGATACATTACTGTGCATTGGACTAATACTAGTCAAATATCTGATCACGTTTTCCATTAGCTTTGCTCTGGAGTAATATAAGTTGTCAAAGTAGTGAAAGGTTATACTTTTAGAATTGGAAAAGGAGTGCTTTCATGACACTGTGATTTTCATTATGTAGTAGGTTGAGAATCTGTTCAAGGGTTACCAAGAAGAAATGTACTGTGGGATCATTAAGGTTGTATCAGGTAAAAATGTTCAGATATCTGAAGCTGAGATCTGATATTGTAACAGGGTTCCTATGGGGAATCTTCTAGGACAAATATATCAATGGAGGGTGAGAAAATCAGGTTTAATTGTTCACATGTATAGACTGATGTTGGAGAGGAGTGGTAGGCTTTGCAAAATATTTTTATACTCATTTCAACGGAAAAAACCCGGTATATTTTAAATGTTGATGTGTCATGGTGATGTTTAATGACTTGATATTCCATGGTGATATTCAATGATTTGAAATGTCATGGTGATGTTTAATGACTTTAAATGTTATAGTGATTTTTGATGACTTGATGTTCCATGGTGATATTTAATGACTTGATGTTCCATGGTGATATTTAATGACTTGATATTCCATGATGTTATTTAATGACTCAGTGTTCTAAGGTGATATTTAATGACTTGATGTTCAATCTTGATATATAATGACTTGATGTTCCATGTTGTTATTCAATGACTCGATGTTCCAAGGTGATATTTAATAGGGGTGGGTATTGCGGAGATTTTTCATATTCCGATATATTGCGATGCGAAAGCATATATTGCGATATGTATTGCAATATATTGCAAGAAGTTGTTTGTAACTAAAAACTAATTATCATTGAGTTAATGCTTGATTTATAAAGCAAAGAGACATCAAAATCACTGTGCTTGATTAAGCTTTAAAAATAAAACCTTTTAATCATGACAAAATACAAATGTAAATAACATTTGGCACAAATGAAACAAGGAAATATCAGAAGATTTCCGAGTGTTACAAAGTTTTCCGAATGCATGTCAAAATACCGGTTTTTGATCAGCGTATCGCAATACGTATCGTTTTCATGTCTGAACCGGTAAATACCGGTAAACCGGTTATATTGCGCAGCCCTAATATTTAATGACTTGATGTTTCATGGTCTACATAAATAACTCTGACAGGAGGTTAAATGACTGGATATACCAGGATATTTTAGGACTTGATGTTCAAGAACTATTTACCATAGAATGATGAACAGGTGTTCAATATCGATTTGAAACTAACAGTAACATGTAGTCAGACATGGAAATGGGGATCTAATGCCACTAGTTATGATCATACATCTGTCTCCCCATTCCAAGGAAGACACTGGCCATCTTGCATATTACAACAAAAGCAATGATAATGATGCTGATGTCTCTGTTTTCCAGGATGACATGGTCTGCCTTAGCTGCATCGCACCCTCCAAGGATAGCAGCTCCACCGACCGTGTCTGTCTGGCTGCTGAGGGATTTGGAAACCGCATGTGCTTTCTCGAGAACATATCAAGCAGAGTAAGTTCTTTAATCATTCTGTTCATGATGTAGCTGTTTCAAAAAATATTGAGCCTAAATAGATTTGAGCCTAAATAGATTTTATGATTAACTTGTGATGACAATGCTGTCTCTTATACAGATACTGAAACTTGTCTTTGGTTTTTATTAGAAAGTCTAGATTTCTTCTGTTTCTAAAAAGTATAAAATTCATTGCCATACTTCCATTGCAGATTAAAAGAAAACAAAAGAAAAAAACAGTTTATGTATACTGTTTCATTTGTGCTAATATTTTTAGTCTCGAGTTAAATTAAGAAGTTATATTGCTTGTGAAATATAATTATGATCAAGGTTATTGTTGGTTGAAGGAAAGAGACAGTAATATTTGACATGAGTAGAATGAAATAAATGTAGAATAGAATTTAATTAGAATCAAGTTAGAATTATGCTGTGAAATAGAAGTATTTGATATTTTGATTGAAAGATGAGCTACAGAACCTTTGGACTGATTATCATGTCAGTTGGCTATTTTCCCAGTCTAAGTGAGGCCCATAAGCTGTGAGATTTAATTTCAGGTTGGCTGTCAGGTAAGAAGGCATCTACCTTCAGCTTGGAAAGGGGCCATGCATTTTCATTACTATTTCATACCATGCTTATTTTGCCAGGGACTCCTTCTTGAAACTTCTATTTGTGCATATATTTTGTATAAACAATATATAATGCAGTGAAACCTTCTTCAGTTCAGGTAACAGATAAGTAAATTTCTGAACAGTTTTTGGGAGGGTGATGTTAGCATAGATTCCACATGGAGCTTCAAAATATGTTGTTTTTGGCGACATATTTTGATATAACACTGTTCTGGGACAGGAAGCAGGGTTGACCTTGACTCACAGACATGGCGATCCTGGATACCCCCAATTATTAGTTTTAAGGGTCTTTGCAAGCAATACAATGGTCCTATGAAGTAACAGTGTAGAGAACTGTACGTTTTGATCATCTCTTTCGAGCCTGGAGTGAACCAATGATCATGTGAACTGATTGGTGAAATGATCCATGTAACTGCTTTGAAAGAAACAACAAGACAATTAGCAAAGTCATAGATTTCATGTGGGTACTATGAATAATATTTTGCATTTCCTGGACGCAGTTCATGTTTTTTCTGCGTCCATTCTCTACATTTGTGCGTTTTGGACACACAGTTACATGTCGCATAAAACCCAGAGGAAGGTTTCATTGTATGATATAATGTGTATACATATCTATATATCTATCTATATATATATATATATGTTTATATCTGGTTCATGCTTTCTGCATATTGCTTTTTCTTATCTGGTATAAGTGCTGGAGTCTTGTGACCATGAAACAGAAATATTTGTTTTGGTTAAAGTATGCAGTAGAAAATGGTTGACTTCAGCATCAGAATCATATTTTGTAAATGATTTATTCTTTTGAACAATGGCAGAATGATGAGGCCATTGAAAGTTGATCAGTTGTTTGTCTCTGCCTTAGTTTAATTTTTTGAGGGTGCTTCAACTGACCACAGCAATATTGAAAGTATTCCTGTAAGAAGGCTCCACATTCTGATATCTGTAATATCTGTTCATGGCCAGTCCCATAATAGTGGGAGAAGATGTAATACATCTGCCACTGTTTTATTTGAATTTTAGAAAGGAAAATTTGAATTTGTGAAAAAGGTAAATTTCGACCAGGTATATATTTCATCTTTATACCTTTTTTGTTTTGTTTTGTTGCAACATCATGAGTAGGTTCATCACATGACCATATTGTTTCCGAAAGGTGCTCACGGATTGTAAAACATGCTTTATCCTCTCAAAATAGGAATGACCAAGCACTAGAGTCTGAATTCACCAGTTCACTTAGTTTCCCACAGAGTTGTCTGCCCTTACCTGGCAATAGAGGGTGGTGTGATGGTTTATCTGCACCAATTTTCAGCAACCACTGTAGCACTTGTTTGAAACAGACTGCAAAGATGAGCTTGTGGCATTCAGCAGATAGAACTAAAAATAGACATTAATGCATTTAGCATTTAGATACGAATGATGTGTTTACATTTAGATTTTGCTTCTGCAGTGCTGCTTGAGACCTACAGCCTAATCCCTATACAGCTTTGTATGTAAACAAGGTGTCTTAACTCTGCTAGTCCAGATGCTCCTGTGTGTAGAACAACCAGATGCTGTGACTGAATCACAGTGCCATACTATCTGTAGACAGCAGTGTATGATCTATGCAGGATTGTACCCTGTGGGGATGGTCTGAGTGTACATCAACCAATGGGCCCCAAGGGACCAGTGAACAATGTATTTATCTTACCAAACACCTCAATGTTAATTTGTAACTGTTTGAAGCACGGGTATCAGATCATAATAAGGAGGCAATTAGCCAATACCGACAACCAGACGACAAGAAAAACAAAGTTAGAGTTATCTCCCTTCCATCGATTTGCATTCGCAAAACATCGGTAATTTCAGTTTATCATACGTGACTCAATTATTGGAAATAAAGAATTACTAACATGAAGTACCAAATGAATTCATACAGTTTGGCATTCCCAGCAGGTAACATAGAAAATGTTACTTGCTTGTAAGTGGGGTACATTGAACGTAATAGAGCACTCAGCCAATCAGTAAACAACATTTTTGTGTGAGGTAAGATAATGCCAGATGTTCCTGGCCATTTTACCCTTATCAGGTTTAGTTATACAATGAAAAAAAGTTAAAGATTCTTTCATATTACAGTTGTGAATCTGTCTTGGTTCAGTAATAAATAATTGGATGTTCTTTAGTTGTTTTTCAGTGGTACGTTTACAACAATGCATATTCTTCAAATGTCTTTGTCTGTGGTCAGTATCTATCAAAGAAGTTAAAGATCACCTGATTCTTTCATATGACAGAAGTTAATCTGTCTTGGCTCAGTAATTAAATGCAGCTGGATATTTCTTATCCTCTTTTGAGTAGTATATTTAAAACACAATGCATATTTGTAAAATGTCTGTGTCTGTGGTTAGTATCTGTTGAAATCCTGTCACGTGTCAGTGTCTGACAAGGTTGTCATATTATGATTCCCTTATAAGGGGCCAGTCAGTAGTGTTGACAAAGATCAGGGCCTCCTTTCACAAAGCACTAAGGTGATCGTAAGTCATTAAGGTAACCTTAGTGCAATGTTAAAGAATGGGAGTTAAGGTTAACCTTAGTAAAGGTTGCTTCGTGAAAGGAGCCTAGGAGTACGACAACAATCAGAATGACCAGTGACGATACTTTGTCTGTCATGCTGATATTTATGGTAATAATTGGATTGGTGGTCAGCAGAGCGCTTACTGGGAGATAGAACACAGTGCCAGATTTGTACATCTTAAACATGTACCTTTATTGAAACTTCTAATTGACAATTAAAGATTTGTATATACCGGGTATGTAAAAATCACAGGATTGCTCACAAAGAATTTTTTTAGATACTTAGGCAGAGGTACAGATAAGCTGCATATCTGCGTAAATTGTGCAAATATTTATGTGAAATTTCAATTCTTACGCTTGACTTTTTGTAAATACTCAATAAATTTGATCTTACATGCGTACACACAAAAACGTCGAATCATAGCTTGCGCACCGGTGCATAGATGAAATAACTTAGGTATATTCAGAGGTTCTATTTCAACACATGAACTTGGCAACTTGCAGTCTTTCTTATTGTTTCTCATATTACAGATCCAATATAAATAACATTTAAACTTGATTATATTTTTACAATTAATGAAAAATGGCAAAATACCCAACTGAGTTTGAGTGAGGTGGGTACAATTTAGTTGGTTACCCAAAGGAGGTGAGGTGAAATTGGGTTTAACATCTTACTTGAGAATATTTCGCTCACATGACGACGTGCTTGCGTGTGTGTGTTTATGTGTGGCTGCTTGTACTAGCCCAGACTTAAGCTTGTTTTATAGTGCTAGCCCACTGAGATACCATGCCGCAGTGAAGCATGAATACCCCACTCAGACACATTATACTGACTCCGAGCCGACCAGCCCTTCTTGTACCCATTAATGCTGATCGCCAGGCAGGGACCAACAAGTACCATATTTTACCGTCTTTCTGTATGACGCGGTTGGGGATCGAACCCGCGACCTTCCGCTCTCTGGGCGGAGGCTCTAACCACTACACCACGGAGGCGGTCTACTCAAAGGAAAATTAGGATACCCAATTGAGATGAACACAAGCGAGTACATAACTCAAAGACCCAAAAAGTTCTCTGTACCTCTGCTAATGCAAACTGATTCATACTTCTCAAAAGAAATCAAAGAATGTCTGATATTTTCAGATGACTATGTTCTTTAACTGACTGACTGACTGAATTTGGTTTTACGCCGCTTTTAGCAATATTCCAGCAACATCACGGCGGGGGACATGTTCTTTAACATTTTTGAGTAGTATTTAATCAATGACAAATGTTATGCTGGTCAGTTGATTGCTTGCACTGGTGGCTGGCTCATCTCAAGGTCGCTTCTGCAAATTAATCTGTTAACTTATTGTACAGAATTTCTTTTTCGATTTGGCAAACTATAATCGTGTGGAATTTCAAGGTCGATCGATGGCCCTGTTAAAAATCAATTGTTTCACTACTATAATCATGGCACAAGTCCTTTTCTTGTCCCGATGGCCAGAGCAGCTCTCAGTAATCACTTCTGCCTGTAAACATAGTAATACTTGTGAAGTGAACTCGGTGGCAATTATGAAACCTATATAAACACAAAGGCCTGAAATAATCTTACGGTGAGGCAGTAATTGCCGCTTCCACAATGTCACATCGGTAATTTGGCAGCTATTTGTGGCGCGAATATAACTGGAAACAACCACATAGATCGATGTAAAGGGTTGGTTTGGTTGTTGTTTAAAGCCGTAGTTGGCAGTATTCCAGCTAAATGTAAATAATCAAGTCTGGACCAGACAGTCCAGTGATCAACAGCATGAGTATTGATCCATGAAACTGACACGTAGAACATAATG